CATGGGAGTGCAGATAATCAGAAAATACCATATTTTCTTATTATAATGCAATTTATAAATTGTTTACATATATAGCAAATCTATTAATGAGAAAAATGAATGTAGGAAATTAGGCAGATTCATACACTAGCAATTTTATATTCAACATTTTTTACAAGTTATAAAAATAAATGCAAATGATTTATTTTTATAAACTACCTTCATAATTTCTCTTGAATATTGGAACTCTGTTTTAATATATGTGTTATTTACAGCTAAAAATTATCTTCAAATTGTAAGGATTTTAAGTTTTACTAACGTTTATTTTATTTTAAAACTTTGCTATCCTATCTTATTTTCCATTTCGGGAAAGAATAAGCGCAATTAGATTTGTTTATGCAAATGAGGTTGTAAACTGTATAAGTATTTGAGTATATGGCTTTTAGACAACAGAGAGAGACTTCTCGCTGCCTTACCACGTGTGTGTGCTTTTCAGTCAGTTCCTGTCTACCTGTAAGGCCAGAACTTAGTCCTCACTGATATTTGAAGATGCATTGCAGTTTTTGCATTCTGCTCACTACATGCATAGTGTTAAAAAGACCAATCTTCATGTTACTACTCTCTGTAAAGCATTTAAGTTTAGTTCTTATTTAGTTTAGTTTGCTTCTTATTTTCTAAGTTTTAGTCCATAAATACTGGTCTCTGTATCCCGAAGTGAAGGAACGACTGTACGCTGTAAGAAATAAGGGGTAAATTTAACCCTTCTCTGTCGTATCTTCTACACACACACGAACACAGTCTTGAGTAAACTCCCTGTTTTTACTCAGAACTCTAGTTATGTTTCCAAAGGCAATTAATTAGAAGCAACAGCAGTCCTGACAAAATGAAATATTTAGAAAATAAAATTTTCTTCCTTTCTGAAATAAAGACATATTTTCAGTTTGAAAAATTACTTAGAATCTTTGCAAGTACATTCAACTGAGAATTTACAGTGAGAAAGGAATTTGAGTATAGAATTAAATCCAAAATTTCCAAGTGAATTATTATTTATCAACCCAATATTTGTAAGCCAGACAAATTCTCCTTGTTCAATTTTATCTCTAGCATGACTAAAAAACTTTCCAATTAAGCAAGATATTTTCAATAGCAAGATAACGATTTCAATCGCTTAACAAAAGAGAGAGAGAGAGAGAGATTTTAAGCAGGTTATTTTATATAATATAGCACCGAGTTCACACTTAATGTTTAAAAATATTCTACCATTACCAGTTTACTTGTTAAGAGGAACTGACTCCACATACATAAGGAGTTATTCAAATAATAAAAACTTATATGTAGGATTTGAGCTAATATGCAGTGAATTATGAGTACATTTTCTGGAGGAAGTGCAGAATATACAGAAAAGATCAAAACACTCATCCACACATACATAGATTTCAAAAACATTTAGCATTTAATACTTAACCTTCAGTTTTTTTTAACACTTCCTTTTACCTCCTGCATTATCATTATTGTTTCCAAATAGAAGTTTAAAATACCACAGCAAAAGACACCCAGTATTAAGGAATAAAATTTATTTCTAAAATGAGAAATTTAATATTTATAAATTTATTTTCCAAAATTTCCAAATGTTCTAAAAACTTATGCCTAGTTTTAATTAAATCTTTGTTTACATATAAAAAGAAGTACCAAATTGGGGGGGGGGAGAACTTCCATACTTCAATTACAAAGTGAGTGAGTTCTTATTTATCAAGATAATGCATTTCAGAGCTTATCAGCAATTTTAATTTACAGAATTTAACTGCATTAGTTATATGTAACTCATATTTAAAAAGTAAGTACCTTTTCTAATATATTAATATGCACAAAAAAGTGTATGTAGGATTTATAGTGAATTAAATTAGAAAAATACATTAAAAAATATTCATAAAATTTTAATTTATTTAACATAGTGATGATTTTTTTTGGGGGGGACAGCATAGCAAGCTGCCATCCTGTAAGGTAAGAGTTCAAATTTGAGCAAAGACACTGATGTTTGTAGTTCTTTATATCCTTTCTTGTTTGTATAATAGTGTTTTTCCACCTGTGGAGATGACCAACATTCTCAGTGAACATCATGACCAACATTCTCAGTGAAGCAATTGCTAAACAATCAATGGATATGGTCATTGGTTCCCCCAGAAATGCTACTTACATCAAGCATCATAAATTTCCTTAAATACCGATATAATTGTTCATTTATTTTTCAACAACAAAAAAAAAAACTAATTCCCACTTAGGGCTAAAATATTCTGCTTATCACTTAGGAGGTGACATTATAAATTTTAGATTACTAAAGTGTGTAAAGGGGAAATGCATCCTTTTTAAGTATGTTAAATGCAATATGCTGGGCAAAATAATAATTACATAACCATTTATAGGATAAAGAATCTTCAGTCAGAGTATTAAAGGGATATTAAAAGATTTAACATCAGACTGTGTTTATCTTTTTGGTATGCCATTCTTAACGTTAGGCTACCCTCATTTTGATGCATTTCAGACTTTTGGAGCAAAATTACAAAAACCATTATTTTTATAGTTTTCTAATTTATTCTGATAATTAACCCATGAAATGAGATTAAACTCCTTCAGCCCTTTAATTTCAGAGTTCTGTAAGATGTAAACCTATCTCTACGGATATCCATCAAAATGATGGGTAAACTAGTTTCATAGTTAATCGTAATAAACTGATTTCTTCATGAAATTATTTTCCTGGTGACAAATGTAAAATTAGTTAAAACAGAGATACTAAATAATTAAATGGAAATATCTTTTGATCATAATTCAATGAAAATATCTTTCGATAATTCAAACCCAATATCAATGCACCAGGTTCACCACAGCAAAGGATACATATATTCCATCTGTCAATTGTATGCACCTAAAGCATAAAGAGTTAGGGCCAAAATTAATGAACGATCTGCAGTCGCTCAATTAAAGTCAGTGTGTTATAACGTTTTAGAAAATGTTAGTATGAGTACAGATGATCGAGAAAAAATATTAAATTATTATTAGCAATATCATTACAGAATTAGAAGAAAGTACTAATTTTAACTTTATTCTGACTAAATTTCCTTTCTTAGTCATCTTGAGTAATTAAAGAAAAGATGCCAGAGAGAATAGTTAGTATCAGCGAAGATTGCTGTGGTAAGTCTGTTAAAACCAAAAACTACCATTAAAACTTTTTTTACACCAATAAAAACAACTACAAATTCATCAAATTGATGAATGTCAATAGCTCTAGTATTAAAATTTTAAACTTTTTAAACTGAATTAATAGTTCTTTTAAGAAAATATGTGATTTCCTATACCCTTCAATTTGACGGGTGTCTGTAAATAAAGGCATACAAAAATGACCGTAAACCTAGTGTTCAAACTTCCTAGAAATAACTTAAGAATAAATAATAATAATAATAACCTTTGACTGCTTATATTTATTCCCTCTTTAAAAAAGGGGGCTATCACATGCTTGTCTCCTTTCAAATGCATTGGCTTTTTTTTAATAAAACTAATATTATACTGAAGTTGATTTCTGCCTAATTTTAAACTTGAAACTGATGTCTTCTCTTAAGATATATTTCTTGAATTAATAAGTTCAATTACTGCAAAATACTCAAAGCAAATTGTTCAGATTTTATACAAATTATGATTGTATTTACTTGTTTTAATTTTGGCGGCCATTTTCTTCATGTTCGATTGAAAACTTCCAAGATATTAGATAAAATAAGTTGCTAAGAGGATGTTATGTGTAAAGTTTAGGATATAAATTTTCCAATTTTCACAGTGTAAATAATTATGCATAAAATTATTGATATCTGCAAGCAATATACAAATACTTTCCATAAGATTATGGCTATTATCTGACCAAAAATCAATTTTAGAACACAAATAAAACCCCAAAAAGACACCTCTTTGATATGCATATTAAATGTTTCATAATAAAATATAATTGTGAGCTATTTTAAGCCTGTACAAACTATAAATAATAAAATATATAGCTCTTGTTAAACTGTTTTAATGTTAAATTAATACTATATTCTTCAGCAATAATTAAATAAATAACTAAGTAAGAATATATTAACAAAAACATATAAATCCCATTTTAATCATAAATTTTACTTTAAATAAAATTATAACAGCTCTTAAAATAGTTTTGGGGGGTTAAATTTTGTTCTCTGACGCTTCTTACATTGGCTACTTCTCATATAACTACAAAGGTATTTAAGTTTCACTCTAAATCAAACCCTAACTAATAAAAAAGAGATAAAGGAAGAAAGAAAAAGGAAAAGTTATGCTGAATTTTTTTAACTTCTCCATAAATAAACAAATTTTTCAAAAAAAAAAAAAAAAAAAAAAAAAAAAAAAAAAAACTATGAAAATAACATAGATATGATTTACTCTCAAACTAAAATTTAATTTTTTTTTTTTAAATTAAACTTTGAATTCGTAATTCACCCCAAGTCACTATTTAAAAAGAAAAAAGCATGAAAGCCAAATGAATAATCAGGAATTTTAAGTAGTTTGGTCCTACGTATTACTTAACTTATGTAAAATATTAGCCTATTTATCATTTGTATATGTAGTGCCTCAAAGAGGCTAACCAATATTTCAGTTAAAGTTTTGCAAAGCTTCAGACACAGCTAAAAAAATTCATGTTCCTATGGCCTTCACTGCTATTCAGAGCTGACATAAGAAAGACGAAAAGTAGAAAAAAAAAATATTAATTTTCCTTTGCTCGCTGGTTTAAATGTTAATAAAAATTATTATCTAGAAACAATAACGTAAATGAGAAAATATTTCCTCTTAACTGCCAGCTGAAAAGGGTGGAAATGGTACTTCTACGTTTTGTTCTTTAAGATGCCAGCTCCTGATTTTAATCTCTTAACTGTTTTTCAAAAGATCACCTTATTTACTGCAATGAATACATTAGTAACAAATAATTCCTGGCTTACTCGTTAGACGATGACACAGTAAACATCAAGTATCTCCAGATAGCAATTTTATTCTTATTAAAGATACTGATTAAAATTACTTCAATTATTTTCTTTATTCCAGAAAAAGTCACTTTGTCAGAAATAAATGTTTCATCAATAACCAACCCACTTAAGTAGTGGATTATCCTTTCAATACTGATTTAAATGCTATTTATATATCATGGCTTAATTAAAAACATTTAAAAGTGTACTACATTTATTCACAACATTTTAACAGGAAATCTTTTTGACAAAAAGGAAAAAAAAAATTACAGCAACATACATACAATATTTACACAAACTTTTTGCCATTTCAAAATAACTTCAATTGAAAACAAAAGATACACAAATATGAAATCATTCTCATGGAAACAAAGTTTTGGAACCCAATTAAGAAGAAGGAGTTTTATGACGGCGACGAACAGCACGTTTTTTCCTTCGAAGCTTCAGCCTGTAAGAGTCGGAACTTTTGGTGCATATTTCTGGGAATACTTTTCTCTCTTACATCAGCTGATCTAAAAGTTAAATGTAAGTAAATAAAAGCAAAATCAAATTTTAAAACAATATTATAGTTGCCAACTTTGAAATCTCACAAAACCAGGAATTTTGGGCAGATTTTTGGGCTGCATGGTGAGGCCATTTAAAAACAAAGTCCAAAACGACTTGAATTCACTTCATGGTTAATTACTAAACTGTTTGTAATATTATTTTGATGTAAAGTATATTAATATTTAATTAGATATTCTATATTTTATGTTTTGGGAGCTAATTTCATTTTGCAAGTTTCACACACTTTTAGTACTTGAAAAATTCTGAACACGGAGAAAAAGCTCTTGCTTATCAAATTGCTTTTAAATATGATTAAATAAAATTAATGATTAATTTATATACTATTGTATAGATAAGTTAGGAATATTAATTTTTATTAATACAGTAATATACACATTAATTATTAATTGTAGTAATATTAATTTTATCAATACAATAACTATTACATATATTGATGTAAAACAAAATTAAACACAAATATTAATACTGATTAAACACTGATGAATTTTCCTAAAATGTTCTACAAATGTCTTCAATAGATTAAGAAAGCCCATATCAAATAGAATTTAATAAGAAAAATTACACTCAGAATCACTAAGTTTTGGAGAATGCATCTGCACAACTTAAATTCTATTAATTCAATAAATTCCATCTATTGTCAGGAAACATTTCCCTTAGAAAAGGCCAAAAATTAAAAACTGGGAGATTTTTGTTCTAATGGGAATTTTATGATAAACTAGCAGAGTTGGCAGCTATGCAATATGAATGCTGCAAGAAAATAATATAACTATGCACTATAGTTCAACAATAATTGACATTTTAGTTCATGCTTATGTTAATATAATACAGTAGTACTTCATATAATGAATATAATCTATCTAAAGATATCACTTTTTCTGTAATACTATCATTAACTGTAAAGTTATTTTGGATAATGATTTTATAATTTTAAACTGTTACAGTGTCAAGTTCATAACCTCAAAACAGCATGAAAAATTTTCAAACAATAACGAACCGCCATCAATGTCGGAAACACATGAAATTTACTTATTTATTAGTTAAATTACACTAGAGATTTTCAGTATAATTTAGTGCAATACAGTCAACCCTTGCTGAGTGTGGAGTTATGAAACATGACTTTGCATATAACCATAATTTTAATTATTTCCACTTAATTTATCTAATACAATAATTTCGTTCATATGTGCCTCAGTGTTTATTTATCAACAGAGAATGCTTGTTGGTATCAGCTCTGGCCAGAAGTTGTCAACAATCTTAAAAGGATTCCCATCAGTTGAAAATGAAGCCAAAGAAATTACTGTAAAGGCCCTTTTTTTCGCGAGGCTTTAATTTTTGCGAGCCCGTCGTAATCGCAAAAATTCAAGCCTCGCAAAATACTTTTTTTTTGTCCACCTCAAATAATAATAAAAAATCAGAAATTTTTCACTTACCCAAAATTTAATGATTTATTGCACAGTAACAAGCTTTTTCTTGACAACTTTCTTTCTTATAACTATTTTTTGAAAATTATACTACTATATTTCTCGAATATAAAACAATAAAATTAACAGAAGGCAGCTCATTCACTTAGAATACTATTTATACCAGCTTCTTTGAAGCTTCAAAATTATCTCATGTTTGGCTTCAATACCATTAAATATGCGCACAAGCCAAGAAGCGTAAATAGGTTTTAGTTGTGATATTTGCAAGTCCACAGATTCTTTTTCCTCTAGAAATTGAAGCTCATCAGAATACCACTCAATAAACTCATTCTTGAGCAAACACTTGAACTCGCCATTTACAGTTAAGTCCAAAGGTAAGAAGCGAGCATAAAAACTGGAATAATAATAATATTCCTCTTCTCTAGCTCAGTCGGAAAAAGAGGATCTTGGTGTGCCTTAAAAACATCGAACAATTCAACTTTCTCAACTTGAATTTTTCAACTCTCAACTTTACTTAGGTACTTTTGAAATTTTTCAATTTTCGGTTCTGTTCATATAAAATTCGCAAAATTTTCAGCTTGCGAAATCACCGATACATTCCTTTTCATGAAAATTATGGCCTGCAAAAATAAGGGTCTTTACAGTATTCATATTGCAAAAGCAACTGGTGGTGAAGGATTTTCAAATATGAAAGAAGAAGTCTAAGAATCAATCAAGAAATGACAAATAACTGGATAATCCTACAACACCAGCTGATATTGAAGATAAACACACTTTTAAATTACAAGAAATTAAATTATTTTAAAAGGCATACAAACCATCTGATTTCACAATGAAGACTGACCCAAATAAAGAAAAGGATAATTTATCATAGGCATTGAAAAACTGTACTCTTTACCGCAAAATTTTAAAGGTCCGAGTCAGATATTGTCCCAAACAAAAATCAGTTTTTTAAAAAATAATTGTATCTAGTACTTATTAAGGAATAATAAAAACCATTTCAATTAATATTTATTTAATTTTTTCTCTTTTAATTACAACAGTATTTAGGTTTGTTTAAATCATGCATGCTCTTTAAATCTGAATTATACCTAATACATTTTTTCTACACGAAGTTAACTTTGCAACACATGATTTTGATGTATGCAAACTGTATTAATAATGCAATCTCTGTGTTCTGGTTTGCTGCATATTCTTAGATCTCCGTTTGAGAAAGACCAACCTGCCCTCTTGCACATTTCCCTTTAACCTTCTGGGGATCCCATTTTCCAGAAAGTGTCAAGTTAGTCCTCTCCTTATTCTTCAAAATAATCTTAAGGTAGTGCACATCATTGTTACTGAAATGATCTTCCATTCCATTACCTAGAATGTCACTACTCAATGGCAATGTAAATCTTTCAAATTTCAACCAAAAGTCACCCTTAGTCACCCTTTCAGATTGATGACTGCAGCAGTCACAGACCTCTCGTGTTTTCCTCCACCTCACCAGAAAATATTTCCCCTTGGTTTTCATTGCATTTCTGTTAAAGCAATGCTTGCAATTTTATAGTAGTTATACAATACAAATAAATATATTAACATTGCTTGTTCCTCTGCTGATTTCCTTACTTAAACACAGATACATTTCCTGCAATTGCTTCTGGCCTGGCCTACACAGAAACTAAAACAAAATATGTATTTAAAAAGTTAATAATGCGCAAAGATATTTTCTAGCAATCTGCACATTTTTCTATTCTGTGTGTGCACATATTATGTGAAGCACTACAGTATAGCAATTTATACAGATACCCTGATTTATTTAATTTTTTAAAACTGTTGTTTTGAATTTTTTAAGGTTCTTGAGAGTGATATGCAATAGTGTTAAATGTAGTTCCCTACCAAAGCTTGCTTAAGTTGAAAGCATAAGATTCAATGGGTGCTTTTCTTGAGTTTAACAAAACTGATGAAAATATCATGGCCGACTATGGCATGCTAGTAAAACCATATGATGAATAACAGACAAATTTACTTGACTGGAACAACATGAGCTTGCTTAATAGTTCATTTGGTGAGGCAGATACTTGGCGGCATAGTAAATTATCTGGGATACTGTACTAGATTTCTGTTACAACATAGTCTTCCATAGCTATACCACAATACAGGTTTCCATGCCTTGAAATTGCCATACCATGGAATCATTCATGGCTGCTAGCCACGTCAATAAGACATATCCAGAAGATACACAGTCTCACTTCATTCATTGTGAATTTTACCACAGGATTATATACTTTAACTTTTTCTGCTCAACACAACCACAAAGCTTCCTTTGTAATTCAGGATTTAGAAATTACACAACATTTAATTTAAAAAATTTTAATTACTATAGTTTTGCATAGCATACTACCTATTAAATTATACATATTTTTTGCTCCATTTCATTTCAACTTATTGCCTCAAATTTTATTAGAGGTGTATTTCTCATTCAATTAACTAGTTCTCACTTCACAGCAAGGCAAAAATATATAAAAACTCACAATAGCTTCATTAAAATTTGTAAAACACAGAAAAACATAAAACACCAATGCAGTTAAAAAAAAAAAAATTTACAATTAAAATTAGTTTCTATACAAAAACAAGCATATCAGCCAGCAGGCAGGAAGATACATTTTTTTTGGTGCACAAATTTGAAAGTTTACTTTTGGTCCCATTCAGAAAAAAGACACTGTAGTTGGTGCACAAACTCACTTATTTCACTATTCTACGAAGAGTTTCAAATGTAAACAATTGGTGCCCTTGCTAGGCTTACTATCACTTAAACTTTTAAATTGTTGATAATTCTACATGCATGCAGATTAACTAAAGGCATAAAATCCTTAACCAGAACATAACATAGTTCAATCACTTTCAAAGCAAAAAAATTAACAATTTACCAACGTATAAGAACAAAAAAAAAAAAAAAAAAGAGAGAGAGAGAGAGAGATCTCACTGAGCTGGGTAACAGTGGGTGTGTATATATACAGCCACTCTGTTGTATATATGTATGCACACAATAAAGGACTTTGCAATATTGATGGAGCAGAATGTAGAAATTTGAATCTGTAATGAAGAGCAAGAATTTCGATTACTTGGAATGCTAATCAATAATGAATAGGAAACTGGCAGCCGAGGCAGATTAAATCTTCATTTTATTTTCACTAAACATGTTCCAGCCACAGACAATTTGGCACATTATTTGTGCCTATTTCAAAATGTTTACATTTTTTATCGCTTTGCAGTAAGAAGAAAGCAGCAGACAGCGGTCCATCTAGGCCAGTGATCGTGAACCTATGGCACGCATGCCACAGTCGGACACAGAGCCTCATCAGCCGGCATGCAACTAAAATATTACTTCTTTTAATCAATAATCACAATAAAATGATACTATGTATTTTAAATAAGTGTTCTTGAACTTTTACTTACCGTAATTTCCGGAAGAAAGGTTACATCAGCGTAAACGTCGCACTCAAAAAAAAAAAAAAAAAAAAAAAAATGGCGGGGAAAAAATTTAAATTACACAGAAACGCCAGCCACATCAGCGTAAACGCCGCAATAGATTAAATTGCGCGTGACATTGTCGTGGGTCACAGAGATGCAAAATCTCAACCTAAGTACTGATATATGACATATCAGTTAAGAAAAATGCATGAAATGAAACTAAAAAATAAATTAAAGGTAAGAAATGTGGAAAATATATTTACGTTCACATATATACTTATATTTACCCACTAAAGAAGTCTATATTTGTAATACTCAGACTATATTATAAAAAATGTTGCAACAACGAAATATTAAATTTGGATGACAAAAGGAAATTTTAAATTTTACTTACAAAAGGAATTACAGTAAACTGTACATCATATGAAGCCATCAAAATCTGATTCTTCGCTATCTGAATTGAAAAGATTTAGTAAATCCTGATCTAAATCCAAGTCTTCCAGATCGTCACATTCATACTCTTGGTTTAATCTCTTTATCTAAGAATATAATTTCAGCTTATTTGAACCCTGCTATTATTGACGATATGTTTTTACCAATTTCCACGTACTTCCTACCCACTTTGCAACTTCTTCATAAGATGCTCTACATATTTTACTGCCAGTCCATTGGTAATTGTTGCCCGACTGTTGCTCTAGTACACACAAACAATATTTTTTTCTTTTCATAAATCTGCTACACCAGCAAGGCCCTCCTTTGAAATCATTTATGTTCATTCATTTTGCTATAAATTTTGCTTGTAAGTGAATTTTTACAGTCGAAATTGCCATTCCCTTTCCTCGTTGCTCCTTTATCAAGTTTGCAAGGTCGTCCTCTAGATTCGGCCACCTTACACTACCATGTCTTTTGGCTCGTTTCTGTTGCGGCATATTTTTAAGAAGTCCTTTTTCAGTTCTCCAACGTCAAATACATCTCTCGTCCACTTCAAACTCTCGAGCTGCTGCTCTATTTCCAATTTGTTCAGCACGTGAAATTACATTAAAAGCAGTACAGCTTCTGCGCCGTTTAGGTGACATTTTCAAAAATTTTTCCGCTCCCTTCTTACTTAAAAACTATCCAACAAATACTTGTACCCAAACTGATGGGATCTGTATCTGGCAGAATGCCAAGAAAAATCGATTCATGCTGAAAGGGAAATACGTCAGAGTTCGTTATTGCGAGGCATGTGGAGTCGTATCCGCCTTTGAAAAAAATTGCAGAAAAGGCAGGGGTGGGGAGAGGATGGGTCCTGGAAGATTCATCGAATGGCAGAGGAGAGAGACTGTTCAAACTGATGAGAATGTTGATTTGAAAGGGGGAAGAATGTTATTGTTCTGAGATCATGTTTAGGATGAATAAGGCATGTAGGTACCCCCCCCCCCCATTCAAGGGAAAGAATGTAAACAAAATAACATCCGCAAAAAGCAACTAAGTGGTCTTTTGGTGGGAACAGCACCAGTCTATATACAATGACAAGGCCATCCAAACTATGTACAATGGCCATCATAGGAAATATTTTATTTTTAGTGCACCTAAACATTGCATGGGTAGAAATGGCACATCCACTGAAAATTTAAGTTTTAAACATGTAAACACTGCGGCGTTTCTTCCAGAAATCACAGTACTTATTGCATAATGCCACTGGCATAAGGCATAAGCCTAGATATAACATTTTCATATATCGCCATAGAAATGATATACAGTCAAAAGTCATTAATTCGGACACCCATAATCCGGAATGATCTATAATCTGGACCTCAAAGCTACAAACTTATAAGCGCATGCGTCCTTTACGGCTGCGCATATGCGTGTGCGCATGCGCATAATACGTTTACGCATGTGCATAATACGTTTACGCATGTGCGTTTAATGTATAACGGATGGTATAAGCTAAAATTATCTAATTATCTATTTCAGTTAATGTTGCAGATTGTGTTGTTCCTTAATCTTCGAACTAGATCCGGCTTATTATTTTTTGCAGACTGTTGGAGCAATTTTATAAAAGTAAGCTTGAACTTTCGATTATATCAAATAGAATTTCCGATGCTGGAGCTCCCAAAGAATCTACAAAGCGAAAGTATATTTCGATGCCCATAAAACAAAAAGTGGAATTGCTACAAAAAATGGATAAAGGCATATCCTTTGTTTCTCTAACCATTCCGAAATCTGTTTATCAATTTCACGCTGCTCTGCGGCGGAAGGGGGGAAACGCAGTGGCGCGCAACGAATTGGAAGTTGATCTGTCAGCAGTATCCTTATCTTCAGGGCAGATGTTTTTATTTTATTTGGCTTATAATTCCTTACTAAATGTAATACTTCATCTCGATGTACTCCGTCTTTGATATCATTTAAATCAAATTCCTTATCATCATAATTCGCTTCCGATAGTGCAGAAAATGACACAGAGGTTATTGAAAACAAAAACATTTCGATTGACAAATTAGTCGGTATTCTCGACACAGCAATTATAGGACTTGAACAGCGGAACTTTTAACTGAACAAGAAATAATGTCTGTTTATAGAATTAAAGAGAAAGTATTATCACATAAAACGAAGCAACATAAACAACTTACATTGAAAGAAATATTTAATAAAGTAAACAAATAAATATTAAGCTGCTTTTTTTTTTTTTTTTTTTTTTTTTTTTTTTTTTAAATTTTGACACCCGTTAGATCATAATTGTTCTTTACTTCATAAATTACGGTTTCATATTTTTAATTTTAAAATTTCTGCATGCCATCTTACCAGATTTAAACTGATGATCTATAATCCAGAATTGCCGAAGTCCCGACGAGTTCGGATTAACGACTTTTGACTGTACATTTTTATTGGGCCAATTTATGACGTTTCAATTGTTTGGGCCAATCATATTACTTGTTACATGGGAAAGAATATGCCAAAGTTAAAACAGTTAATGTTTGCTAAACGAATTCAAATTTATTGCAGACTGCCGGCTGTAACAGACCTATTTAAGTGTAATTGAACTATTTTATTCACGCCATGAACTCATGAACTGTAACCGAACTATTTTATTTAAACGCCATCTCGTGGCGATATGAAAAAACGTCAGTCGACCTCCAGCCGCCATGATGATAGCTTACTATGTTATGTTATTCTCAATGTTTGATGTTCCATTTGGTATATGTTTCATTTTTTATGTATATTTCTTTTGTTTGTAACCGTTCCTGTGTGCTCTGTTAATAAATCCTTTTAAAGCTAGCCGGCATTAGTGTCTATTGAGGAACGGCTGCCCCAGCCGTTCCTCAATAGACACTAATGCCGGCTAGCTTTAAAAGGATTTATTAACAGAGCACACAGGAACGGTTACAAACAAAAGAAATATATATAAAAATGAAACATAAACGAAATGGAACATCAAACATTGAGAATAACATAACATAGTAAGCTATCATCATGGCGGCTGGAGGTCGACTGACGTTTTTTCATATCGCCACGAGATGGCGTTTAAATAAAATAGTTCGGTTACAGTTCATGAGTTCATGGCGTGAATAAAATAGTTCAATTACACTTAAATAGGTCTGTTACACGGCAAGTTTTAATACTTTCATTGTTAAATTTATTCCAGTTTTCTGATCTAAGCATTTTTAGGTAACTTATGAATAATTCTAATTTAATATCTTAAACGGAATGGCACGCAGCCCCAAAAAGGTTCACCACCACTGATCTAGGCCAAAGAGTAGGAAGCGAGTGTGTTATGTTCAGGATGAAATCTTAATTCAGAGAGAGTTAGTTTGGGCTCTCAATGCATTTTGATTGGATAATTAATATTGCTGTAAAATTATTATTGGCAGTTTTAGTTCCATTTACATCTTATGAATTATATAATAATCATATGACATGTATAAGTCTTGAATGATGCACAGCAAAGAGAGATTGCTATTTTTAGAAGAGATAAGGGAAATTAATTAACACTGCTAATTTATATTATAATTTATTTTTTAAATATTCTTTATTTTTCTTACATATGTGTGTGCATATATGTCATAAGTTCTTGTTCAAGGAAAGGACAGAGCACTGTCGATGCGTAATACCCAGATAAGATAGATCATCGATCCATATTGAAGAGGAAGAATTCTGATTGCGTAGTATGCTAATAATGTTGACTTGGTAATATCTAAAAAACGTGGCCATCGAGGCGGTTTTTAATTCCATTTTTATTTTCCGTTTGTGGCCACAGTTCACTTGGCACTCTAGTTGTGCCTATTCAAGAACATTTACCTTTTTAATACTGTTGCAATAGGTATAGAGCAGAATGAAACAGCGTCTAAGCAGCACAGAGGTAACAGCTGAACTGTATAGTTGTGCAAGATGGAAGGATACGAAGAGAAAGGTTTTGTTTTAAAGTTCTAGTTCCCAATTATTATGTCACCAGCGCTGTGCAGGCCATGCAAAATTGCATGACCTAGAAATGAAGTTATTCAGAGATGTTATTACGATTTTTAGACAGAGAGGAAGAATTAAAGTTTTACCGTTAGTTTAAATTATAATTTTGATCCACATATTGTTTATCTTACATATATATATTTGGTGCAACCATTTGCAACCAAGAAGGGAGGCGCACAGCTACAAGTTATAGCAGTTTAATATACAAAATTTCAACATTCTGAGGGTACTGGTTTTTGAGTTATGTGGGATTCAGTGGACGTCATGAAAAAATCTCTTCTGAATTCATTTTAAATCCATTTTAGAATTGTTTTGGAAAAAAACAGACCTTTATTCAGTCCATTCATACTAATGTTACGCAAAAATATCAGTCAAATAAATTCACTGAGTACTTTCACTGAAATGTGATACCCAAAATTTCTCACGGTTACAATACTTCCCTTACTTCGTACCAGGAAATAAAAATAAATAAAATGGGAATTTTTTTTTACCTTTCACTAGAGCTTGAAGATGATTCCTCTTCATTACAAACTCTGTTACTATTTGGAACAGCTGCAAATTCAGCCGACTCATTCGAGGAAGGCTCCGAACCATGCATTCGAAGATGGAATTTCAACAAAGATTCGGCACGAAAACGCTTCCCACATTGTTGGCAATTAAAAAATTGCTCTTCTACATCACTTTCAGCAGGATCATCCTGTAAACATAATTCAAAAAACAGAATTTAAAACCTTTTTTTAATTACATAAAAAAAATCTATGATTACACTAGAGAAATCTTATTTTAAATAGCCCAATCTTTTATCAAAGAAATCACACTTCATTTACTAATCATTTTCAGGGTTTGTACACATTTCTACACATGGAAATTAAGTACTTTTAAGGAACATTAATGAAAAAAATTAAGGACCTATCAGCAAATGGGAGCTGAATAAATTCAATCAACATATGTCTGAACTTAACTTTTGTAATAACACTCTATGAATAAAATAGATCCATAAGTAAGATGCATTCTTATTAAACATAATTTAATAAACCTAACTATAAAACAAATTTGAGAATAAAATCCACTCTATAAAATTTATCAAGTAACATTAACTATTTTTACACGTATAATAGTTGGACATATTTGAAAGAAGATTAGTGACATTTCATCATCCCTTGATTTCCATCCCTTGGGATAAAATGAGTACCAAGTTTGCTTGGGGACTAAACACTGGGGGTCCTGTGACCCAAGCTGACCACTTGTTCAGGGCATATGCTTATGCACCCCGGGAATCAAGAAAGCAGATTTCGCGACACTGCTGGCTTTGGCCCACTATGACTGTTGTGCCATTGAGTTTAGTTTTTAGGGACATTTTATTTATGTTAACTTATTGATTTTTTCTTTTATGTCTCATTTTGCCACACAGTCTAGAAGTTTATTAAATAGTATGTCAATTTTATGTCAAATGACATAAATTAAAATGAGAAATAAAATCATAATCAGCATGATTTATAACAGATGACTGGCTGTTGCCAGTGCTGCTGCTTGGCTAGAGAGAGATCTGTTGATCAGAACAAACCTGAAAGTCTAATGTAGGCATGGTTGGCAAGTTTTGATAGTTGTGCTTTGTCTGTCTGATGCAGTTAGTGTTGTAGCTTCATATGGAGTTTCTGGGATTGCAACCCAGTTAATATATTTTAAGGTTCCAATAAGCCACTAATGCACCAGAAGTGATAAGTAGTTTTGTATTATTTTAAGTCTCAACTAGATGCAAAGAATAAGTTTTACATTAATTTGTGAATAAGTTTTAATTTTTACGTTTTCATGCTGCCTCTTGTGACAACAGTAAGGATTAATAAAAGGCAATAACTTGCTTTAATATACAGAGATAACTTTTAAAGATGAGCAGTTAGTTACAAATAATTAAATTAGGTAGTTAAATACCCTTAGTCATTATAGATTTTACATGACCACTATTAAATTTTATTTATTTTTTAAAACATTTGTTAAAAAAGAATAATTAAAATCACAATTTAATAACATTTCACAGTTTAAAATACATGTAATTTATGACACTGATTCTTAAATGGTATTAGGATAATTCCACATTAAAAGTTACAAAACATTTATGTTTTGTAGCAACAACATACAACAAAATATTTTTATGTCTTTTTAATTTCAAGCCTTCCCAGACATTTTGGCTTAATTTGTATCAATTTTCTTCTCTTTAAACTGTTTCAAAACACAAAGCAATGTTCCTACTAGTTTCTGCATGCTTTTATCTTCTTACTTGCCAAACTTAACAGTGTACCTAACGTGGTTTTACTTGATCTGGTAAAAGTGAAATTGTATAAACGTCTGATAGACATGAAGCAAATTATCACTATGTCTGAAAGTAACTATAAAGTCATATAAAGGATGGTGTTGAATATACAGACACATTTTTATGTTGACAAAATCAACTACAGCTTGTGCTGATGCATTTAAATAAGAACAGTCAAACTAAGAATGTGGACTAGCAATTAAAGACCATGCAATTTAATTTTAATCCAAGTTGGCTCAGTAACTCTATCATCGTAACAAATTTAAATGTTAGCAGCAATAATGCAAAGATGAATAATTACAAAATTATCAGAGCTGGCAGGAGCTAATGCAACATCTAAGAAGAAGGCAAAAACACTCTGTTTTATAATCCAAAAACCTCATTTTAAGGGGGCAAACACTTTTGTCTTATAATCCAAAAACCTTGTTTTTAAAAACTATCTGATTTACATTATGGTGAGACGATCCTCTTTATGCATTCAGTTTCTTTCTTCAATACATTTCCTCTTCACTTTAGAATTTTTGGAATTAATTAAAGATTTGTGTTATTCTAAAAACCCAAATGCATTTAGAATGTAAAGAAAAAGCTGAACATTCAGAATAAATATGAAATGATATATGGTAAGGGCTGGTTTCAAAGACGATGAGGGAGAATTTTAAAATTTAGTGACACACCAAGCAACAAAATCTAGAAATGGCAAAACATTTAGAATTTAGAACAGGTACTGGGAGCAGAATTTAGGAATCACTAAGCAGTATAATTTAGGAAGGCACTAGATAGCAGAATTTAGGATTCACAAAGATTGCATCAGGTGGGAAAATGCCTAGTGCCAGCCCTGTGTATGATCCATTGAGACATATCAGGTGAATCTTAAATTCTCGGTTTTCAATTTATTTATTAATTGAAAAATTCTTTTTTAAAAATGCCTGTTCATGCAAAAAGATTAGAAACATTTTTGATATTTTCCATACTTGTGTCTAGTGAAAAGTTCAGAAAAATAAAGGGAAGATAAACATGAAAAAGACTTCTAGTATCAGAAGCACAACATTCAAACATTATGTTTTCATTGTTTCTCCAAAAATTCTCCAAAATGTAAGGAATTCATCACAAACTTTTTGTGTTAATACAATCCATTCTGTGTTAATACAATGAAGACATTTTTTGTCACATTTTTCTGGACCCTTCTAGAATTCTGGGTCTGTAAATCTTGCCTTCAAATTCTTTTAAACTTTAAAAGTTGCAATATTTAAAAGAAAAATTAAGAATTAAAGAAAATTAAATTCTAAAGAAAAATTAGCCTTGCCATTTCTGTAAAAGAAAAAAGGACAGAAATATTTTGGAAAAAAAAAAAAAAAAAAATCTGTGGAAAAAGTGTAAAATCTATTAGAGAAAACTGATGCATATTCTTACAATTCTGAGACAATTACATAGGGAAAATTCTTACCATGAAGAAATTTAAAGGAATAAATTTTTAATTAATTGCATAGCTATTTTGCTTTTGCTATGAATTGTTTTGTAAACTGCACTTTATAGCATTTTAATTTAACCTGTATTATGCACTAAAAAAATACTTACTGTGGCGACACACTGCCTTTCTGTGGCAACCCTAAAGAATTCGTCTGTCACGAGGATCACGTGCCCAGATGATGCATCATTACGTCTACGTCTGCTTTTCTGTTTGATAGTTAGTTGCACTTAAGATTTTATAGAATTAGAAATGTCGTGAAAATAAATGTTGGTGTTTTTAAAAAGTGTCGGCTCAGATTTTCGAACCTATGATTTACTTGTTAAGCAACAAATTTGGCGAGCCAGCCAGGATGAATGTCACAGGGTGACATTATCGATTTCGACACTTGATAATTTACGAAAATAAGAGAAGTTCCTAGGTGCAAACATGGATGATTTAGAAACACTAAAACAGAAGCGGAAAGCAATTAGGAGTGTATTTACGAAAACAGCTAATAAGTTAGATGAACTGATACGATCAGATTCTCCGGATTTGGACGATTTAGAAATTTATTTAGATCAAATTTCAGAGAAGTATAAAACTTTACGAAATACGGATGACTCTTTTTTGGAACTTCTACAGAAAAAAGGCTGTACTGAAGAAGAATACGAAAGAGAATTTAGTGCAGCTCAAGAATATTACGATAAATTATCTACGTTGAAAGTAAAAGCCAACAGGAAAAAGGATAAGTGTTCACAGCCTTCTACTGGGTCAACGAATAGCGGTTCTTCATCAGGAATAGTTACAAGGCCGCAAAACAGAAATTGCCAGAGATCGAACTGGTGAAGTTCGATGGAGACTCCCGAAAGTGGTTGACGTTTTGGACAAGGTTTAGTAAAATACATGAAGATACTCGCATCGACAAGAGAGACAAGTTTCATTATCTACTACAATCTACGAAACCTGAGACTGCGCCTAGAGCAATAGTGGAGAGTTTTCCTGCTACGGAAGAAAATTACGAAAAAGCCGTGGAGTATCTCAAAGCAAAGAACGATTTGGAAATGAAAATGTTTTAATTCAAATTTATGTTAGAGAGCTATTAAAACTGGTAATCACTGACAAACAAAAAACATAGACTTATTAACTCTTTATGACAAGTTGCAAACTCAACTACGCGCATTGGAAACACTCGGTTTAACTAAAGATAAATTTGCAGTTGTTTTATTTCCTTTAGTGGAATCAGCACTTCCTGCTGATTTAATACAAATTTGGGAAAGACAACGAGGTATGTCTCCTGAAACAACAGGTAAGAGTGATTTAGAGTCATTAATTGATTTTCTAAAAAGGGAAGTAGAAACTGAATTTAGAGTTAAACTTACCCGTGATGTTTTGGGTTCTGATAAAGTAAGTAATAAGAAAAATAAGTTTTTTGACACAAAATCTGTTGTTCCAACTGCATGTGAACTAATTAATGCAAATAGTAGTAAGTGTAATGATAATTTTCAAAAGTATAAAAAGTCTGATACTTGTATTTTTTGTGAAAAATCCCATTTGTCTGAAAGTTGTAAAGATGCATCTTTAATGAGTTTAGAATGTAAGAAAGATATTATTAAGAAAAAGAATGTTTGTTTTGTGTGCCTTAAGAAAAACCATAGAGCAAATCAGTGCATAGCTAAACATAGGTGTACCTTATGTAAAAATCGACATTTTGTGATTATGTGCCCTGATTTGCCTTCTAACAAAACAAAAAGTGTCACAAAGTTAGGGAATGAAGAAAACAAAACAGGCATTCTTAATAACTATGTTAAGGTATCAGATGTGTATATCTTCAAACTTTAATTGTAAAAATTCAGAATGGTTCTAAAGAAATGTTTGTACGAGCAATTTATGATAGTGGTTCTATGAAATCATATTTATGTAATGATGTTGCTCAAAGGT